GCTGTTCAGTTCTTCGCGCATGTGATTATGTCTAGGATGGGCCGGACTACTCATAAGTTGGGTAGCCTGACTCTACGCCGTATGTAATCGTGTGGGTTGGCCGAACACAACATAAGTTGTTATGTTTGGTCATATGCCTTTTGTTGTTGTTTAGGCAGAGGCTGGCCCCTCATGAGTTGAGGAGGTTCAGTTTTATGTGTATGTCGAACGTTCAGGCTGACCAGCCTCACCATAAGTTGGTGCAGCCTGGTCATACGCCTTATGTCGATTGTTTTGCAAAAACTGGTCACACCATAAGTTGGTGTGGTTTGGTCTTATGCGTACGTATATGTGTTACCAGGCTAGGGCACCATAAGTTGGTGTGGCCTAGTCATATAAACTGGCAGGTCAGTCACATCCATAAGTTGGGTTGACTGACCCTATGTCTTATGTAAGGAAGGGTAAAAAGGGAATAATGAGGGTTTTTGAACAAACTATGTGACCTGGAAAAGAACCTGAGGGTTGGTGAGAGATGTTGTTGCACTCACCTATGCATGTTTTTGAGGGTCATCTCTGGGGTATTCTCTTTTGATAGAGTAGTTGTTGTAGATGCTCGCCGAGTGCTGGAGCCATAGGAAGGTAAGATGCATGATGAGAGGGAAGTTTGGGATGAGATTAGGACTGACTCTGCTGGGGGTTAGGACCAGCATTGGCTCATGGCCTCATTCAGAGGGCATGTAGACTAATGTTGAGCCTAAGTTATCAAGCAGGGATCAGGAGTTAGTCCCAAGTATAGTTTTGTTTTGCATTTGACTTTCAACTTTGTATAAATCTTGGCAGCCTACTTTTCCTACGGGAAGCGCTGCTAAAATTTCTGCAAAACTGAAAAAGTTAGTCATATTTAGAAAAGGCATTTTTCCTACGGGAAGCGCTGCCGAAATTTTGGGAAATTTGAAGAGTTAGAATATTTTCAGTTAGACCAATCCTAGCAACTCAACCCTGAGTAGGGGAGGTGTTACTGAAGCTGAGTAGGAGCTTAGTAGAGGAGTTAGGATGTGACTTAGGAGGATTACTCCCTACCTAGGCTAAACGCTGTAGTGGAATCTCTTTGACCTGTGTTGTGGTGCAGGCCGTGCGTATTGATTGAAGGTCTGACTTGGTCAGCCTGACTATTCTTTTGTTATCGCTGATAACAGGTCAGTTGCCGATTCGTCGGTATACGACTCAACCTTTCATCCTTTTCTGCTTCTCAACCTAAGGCCTTGGCCCTGGCTGGTTCTTTGTTTTATTGGGTTTTCACCCAGATTCTTTATAAATGGCCATTTCTTAAAGGCCGAGTATCTTTGTTGTGGAATGGTGGGGAAAAGGTTGGGCTTGTGTACAAGGCAGGGTGTGAGCTGCAGAAGGCTGAAAAGTTGACCCCTTTAGTGTATGTGTTGTTGTTTGATCCTTGCGTGTGGTCACAGGTATGTGTGGAGCATGTTAATCAAGTATGATGTTTTGGTTGTTTTGAGTTCACGCGGGCAAGCCACGTAGCTATTGTGAGAGTGTACTGTCACATAACTCTTTGCTTGACTAAGGATATTTCCCCTTATTTATATATTGTGGTTGGGCTCTCGCTCGCACAACCCTCACTCGGTTGTGTGACCGCATGCCGATCTTTTCTGTATCTTTGTCTAACTTTGGTTTATGGAACGATAAAAGTTCCGGGCGGAAGGACTAGCGTGTCGCTGGTGATGCGCCAGACAACTCACCACCGCTCCAAATTCCTTCCTGCCCTAGGGGCCGTCTTGCTCTGCACCCCTTGGGACACCTCAGGGTGCAGAAGACGGAAAGACCCTCAGGCCGGGTTTGCGCCCGCTAGAGGATTACCTCCCCTTAGCGTGCGTTTCAGCCAACGCCTGAGCGTCGGAAATAACCCCATGGCTCAGAATAGGCCACTTGTGTATGGACACCACGTAATGCGCCGTCATCGCAGATACTCATGTAGAGCTGCATGGTGAGTTGGTATGTGTGGGTACTGCGTCCACACGATCTTATCCTAAGTCCTTGCGCGCAGCACTCGCCGATCCTCGTACTAAAAGTTATGGGTCAGGCGGCGAGACCAAGAGCGCACTACGGTCAATAGACTCGGTTTTGTGGTAATGCGAAGTGACTCATGGGCGAAGGACCAGTCCCAATCGACCTATGGGAGCCCGTGTACGGGCCTCACTACCCCGGACATTGGATAGCCTACGGGTAGGACTTTGGGCCTCCTCCGCTCGCGCGTCATTTGGGCCTGCCTACCCCTTCCATTTTAGGAGGCCACTAGACCAGTGCGAGTTGGAATAGGTTTCTCTTTTGAACTTTCATGGTTGGACGTTGTAGTCCGTGGTAGCCGTCAAAGTCAAACCCCTTGATTTCGGCTACCACGACAACCCTAAAGCTGTCTACTCAACCCCTCTGCACAGGGTGCAAAAGAGGGTGTGGTCTTCAACCGCACATGGCGGTTGTCTGGCGTCGAGAGATTACCCCTCAAAGCGCCTGTCAGCCGACACTTGAGTGTCGAACGTGACCCTCGAGAATACCAAGGGCCGCGAGGCCACGAGTTCCACATAGTACCCCATCAGCGCAAATGCTTGCATGTGCCCGCATGATCGATATGAGGGGGCCATGCACCCGCGCGCCTCTTAAACGGAAGTTCAGCGCGCGGTGCCTATCTGAGTCTTGCCGTATATAGTTATGGGTCAGATACTGAAGGGACTAGGAGTTGTTGTGTTGTGGCGTTGTTTGTGGTGTTTGTTTCGCGTGGGGCTCCAGGTGTTATGGGTGAGTAAGTGCGAGTGTTGTGGTGTAACGCGTGGGTGTGTAGTGCGTCCTAGTCGACCGACGTCGAGTGGCGTTTGGGACTTCAGCCCCCCAATACGGCGATTCGCATACGGGTTCGATTTTCGGGCGTTCGACCGCACGTACCCCCTATGCTACAGCGAGCGAGAAACGCCCTCGGCTGGGCCACCTCTGCAATTGCATACGAAACGCTTTCGCATGTGGTTCAGTAGCTCGGCAGGGATACGCCCACCTAAGGGATGGTGACAGCTCCCGCAGGTGGAGGTAGCGGTGCCTCGCGTGACTCTGTCCTGTCGTAGGGACTCGCGAGAGGTACGGCTGGCGCACTCGGCCGAAGCGGCAAACGCTCTCCGCAATAAGTCCTGCATAATCCTGCGTGACGCGGCCGGGAGGGTCCATATGCGAGACCGATGCGCTCGACAACGTGGCCCAAGTACAAAACTTGTGTCTTGGCCCACTCGCACTTCTTCGCGTTGATATTGAAGTTTGACTCTCTCAGTTTCTCCAAGACCTGCCTCAAATGACCCTAGTGTTCTTGGAGGGTCCTACTGAACACTAAGATGTAGTCTAGATACACTACGACAAATCTATGTAACCAAGGCCTAAACAAATAATTCATACAGTGCTCGAATGTAGCAGGCGCGTTGGTCAGTCCAAAGGGCATCACTATGAACTCATAATGCCCATATCGAATCCGGAACACAGTCTTGTACTGGTCATCAGGATGAACCTCTACCTGATGATATCCTGACTTTAAATCTATCTTTGAGAAATACTTGCAACCCTGCACCCGATCTAAGAGATCGTTTATCTTGGGCAGTGGTTCAACATTCTTAACGGTAATCGCATTCAGACCCCTATAGTCTATACACATGCGCAACTCTCCTTCCTTCTTGGGGACAAACAAAATTGGTGCTCAAGAAGGAGACGAACTGGGCCTAATCCAACCTTTCTCAAGGAGTTTGTCCAACTGCTTGCGTAACTCCTCTAACTCCCTAGGGGACATCCTGTAAACTGCTCCCTTAGGAGTCTTACTGCCAGGCTCTATCTCTATCCTGTGCTGGATCGGCTGCGGTACTACTCCTGTCGGCGACTCTGTCAAATCTCTGAACTCTTCCAGCAACTTGGCAATGGATGGATCCATGGACCTATCCTCTTCCTTAGGCTCAGTGACTGGTCTGACATACACTACGAAGACCTGATCCTCTAATTGCTCCTTCCTCACTAGTCGTGCGAACGCGGGAGCACTGAGACAGCAATGTGTCAGGGAGTTGTCCACTCCTGACACGTGAAACAGGCGGGCCGTCTTAACCTCACCTGACGGACTAGGGAGCCTACACTCATGCTCTCTTAAGTGGAGTGTGGCCCCTGCTGCCTCTCCCCAGTCCATACCTAGGACTATGTCAAAAGGAAGGTCATCCTGTACGAGGAGAGTCAGGGAATGGAGAACTTTCTCCACCTTGTCATCTTTCTCTAGGCGAAAACACGCCTGGACTCCCTCTACGTAGTCCTCAACACTCATAGTGCGGTTGTCTGCGAGGACACTAACTATGGGGTCTTCTAACTTTTGGACTTTCAATCCTAGCCTCAACTTCTTCAGCGCTTTACGACTAATATAACTGCGGGTGGCCCTTGAATCTATAAGGGTCCCTACTCTACTTCTAAAAACCTCTACGTCAACTAACACTAGCTGCCCTTTACTGTCTTTCTTCATTTTGGCCCAGGCGGGCATTCTCTCCTTCAACTCTTATGCCACGCCTGTGAGGGAAGTGCCTAGAGAGACGCTAACACAAGCAGTCTCTGGACAGCTAACTCGGCACGGGCCTGCAACCTCTGTCGAAGGCTCATGTGGTGTGGGGGTTTCCTGTACGCGCGCGCTCGCTTCCCCACATGGCCTAGTAGTAGGGGCAATTGCGACCCCTACCGACAGCTGCCTTTTGACTTCTGGGCAGCCCATCGGGCCTGTCTATACTTAAGACAATATTTGATGATATGGGCAGGGTCACCGCAATAAATGCGCTGCCCCTGCTCCATGCACTGTTGCCACACTTTCTGATCTAGGCCCAGATCTTCCCAAGGCCGGCGTTGTGGCCAACCTGGGTACCAACCTCTTGACCTTTGAGCTGACCTGCCACCTCGTCGCTGTGGGGACCGACTGGGACCTTGACGATTCGGCAGGGGACCTTGACCCCTACCTCCCACTTGGCGGTTCCCTTGACCGCCAACCCCCTGTGCGCCCGATCCTCCGCCTCCCATGGCCTGGCCCCTTTGGCCCTTGCGGCCTCCCTCCAGCCACAACAGCTGCAAAGGACCCCCCCTGACTTAAGCTACTGTCCTCCTCCTCGAGGCCCCACTCAATCTGGCTGTAGGGGACCTCGTCTGTACCACCTTCATCTAAGGTGAGGATCCGATGATCCTTGGCCCTAACTTGGCCAGAGATGGTACGACCCTTCCACTTTTTGCCCTTGTCCAAGTCCTTGTGCCAAAAAGTGGTAACTGGCATGGACTTCGCCTCATACAAGACCACCTCCCTACTCAACTCATCATACGTAATGTTGGGCTGTTGGGTCTTGTCAAAGAAATGCCCTCGCAAGGGCTCTGGCATGGCACGATAAAACAACTGGACCAACTGGGTCTCAGTGACACCATGGTCCGGGACGGCTACCAAGTCATCCATGACAGCTTTGAGTGCTCGCGCACTCTTCCACTGTCGCGAGTGGATGGTTTGGAGTTTATCAGAAACCCTGACGCCTCTCGTGACGTCAGCAAACCTCTCACGCAGGAGTCTAAGGAACGTGGAGAGAGGGGTGAGCCGCAAATACGCAATCATGTTGTGCTCGCAATCGGCGGCGCGCGCTAGGGACCTGGCGAAGCTTGCCGCTTCATCCTTTAATGCATGGAAGGCGACGAGGACCTGCTCCTCGGGGGCGATATGCTGCAAATACACATAGGTATTGACACTGGCTTCCCAGTTGTCAAAGTTATCGTCCTTCTTCCCACTATAGGCATCAGGGAACTTTAGCTTCACGGGCTCTTTGCGGGAACGCGCTGCCGTCTCTGCTGTGGGCACTACTTTGGCGCCCCCAATGGCGCCGGTGCAAAACTTGTTTGCGCCTTCCTTTAATTTCCTGACCTCGGTCCTGACGTGGGTCACCACGTCGTGCACGAACTCTCTAATCCCAGATCGGATGGCATGAAGGGTCACATCTTGACCCTTATTGGCCTGATGCTCCTCTAGCCAGGCCTCGCTCAGGACCTCAAGGTACCCCATAATCTTATCTAACTTTGCGGTGACCTCTGCTTGTGTCTGCACCTCCTGTCTGCAAGCTCGGACTTTCTCTACTTCTCTCGCCACCCGATTGGTCTCCTCTCTCCTCCTCTTCTTCTCCCTCATCATTCGTAATTTCCACTCCGACTTCTTCTCATCCTCCGTTGTCTGGCGTTCTAGGGGGTCCTCTATCATTTCTAATGCCCTCGCAAATGCCTCTCTCTCCTCCTGCGACACACACAGTTGTGCCTCGTCATCCTCCCCCAACGATAGATTTGCCACCCACTTGCTGATCTTCTTCTCCATCCAGGCGTCTTCTCCCTTGGTGCCACTCGTATCCCCTCTTTTTTCCCTGCGCCTTCTCTCGAGGGTTCTTCTTCTACCTCTTCCTCTGTTGCCGCTTCTTCTTCAACAGCCTTTCTTTTCTCTTCCTCCTCCTCTTGCAACCTCGGCATCTTCTCCTTCTGCAACCTCATCATCTCCTCTTCTATCTTCTTCTTCTTCGCCTCTTGCTCCTCTGCTATAGCCTTCAGCTTCGCTTGCTTGAGGAGCTCTTTCTTCTCTTGCTTGGCCCTTCGCTCGACCAAGATCCTCGCCATTTCCTCCTCCTGCTCCTGGGTATAAGGCTTGGTAGTAGTACCACCCCTCGTGTCTACTCTACACGTAAAGGTGTTCCAGAATCCCAGAGGGAAGAGGAGACGCCAGAGGGTCCCCCATAGGGAGAACCCCACGAGCAAGCCGTACATAGGGTAATCGTCCATGGTGTTAGGTGCACGACAGGGACTGTCCCACTCCTCACCACTTAGACCTACCCTCTAACTGACACGACCTACTGACTCAACCTAAGGACCATAGAACCCGGACTGGATCCTGTCAACTAGGGTCTCTAGCCTCGACCTACTCTAAGGCTGTCACTACAGGACCTGTTGCTGATCAGGAGGCATTTAAGGAGATCCGCCGTAACTCCTCAGGAATTATTTAACGTCGCAGACAGGATGACGCGATCAGCAGGTCCTCTCAAGACTTAGACGGCCTGTTGTGCAGCCCACAACTTGGATTTTGGGCCTACCGTGCCACACCGAGCAGCCCGCTGGTCAGTACCGGTCCTTGGGAGGGTTCGTGCCCTCCGGGACAGTCGAGTCGTCAGACACAGTCTTTAGCCCTACTCAACCCGTGTGGGTTTGGTCAACAAGGCCCTATCCTTCATCCACAGAGCTCCTATCACTTGGACAAAAGAGACTCAATGCAGAAAGAAGAGACAGACAAACTTGACTCAGCAAGTACCACAGGGTGTGTGCACATCCATAGGGCAAGGGGATAGGCTGAAGGCTTGGCGGGATTGTACCGGCTCCAGCTTGGTCATATTCGTGGGCAACGGTCTTGGTCAATGCCTTGGTCAACGCTTGGTCAACGCTGCAGTCAACCCCTGGTCAACTCCGATCAACGCCCGGTCCCCTGTCAACGCCCGGTCCCCTGTCAACGCCCGGTCAATGCTCGGTCAACTCCGGCTATGGCATCCGGCTTCTCCTTCCTCACCACCCTTTTCCTTCCTTCTCTCTGCTCGGTCTCCCCCTCTGTCCTCTCTTTCACCCTTCTTCGTTACTCTGTGGTCGAGCTCCGCGGCTATGGCCGCCGCCTCCTTCCTCGTGGGACTGCACGGCACACTTCACAGGTACGTGACAACCAAACTTGTATCGCTCATCTCTGTGTCTCCCTCTCTCTCTCTCTCTCTCTCTCTCTCTCTCTCTCTCTCTCTCTCTCTCTCTCTCTC